GAGGACCCGGAGTTCCTTTTCACCAACTCAGCCTTCCCAGTCTTTGCCCAGGCTCTCTGAGGGCTCCAGGGCTGCTCCACTGGAAGCGTGGGGCGGGAGGGGGCAGCTCCAGTCCAGGAGCCAGGACACCTTGGATGCTTTGCCCCCTTTTTCTCTGGACCTCAGCAGAACTGAGATCTTTAAAAAGGCGCCCTGGTAGTCCTGTAATTAAAGCACTCGACTGCTAACCTAGAGGTCAGCGGTTCAAACCCACCAGCCACTGTTGAGGAGACCTCTGTTGTAGTCTGACGCCATGAAGATGTGAGTCCGTGGAGCAGGAAGTTGCTGTGCGTTGAAAGAGACTCCACAGCAGCAGGTTTTGGTGGGGAGCTCAGAAGATGAAAGTGACCAAATTGTGCAGAGTTGGTAGTCAGGGGTGGTGTCCCCCAGCAGCCTCGCGGGGGGGAAAGTGCTGGCAGAACACTCTGATCCCAGCCTCAGCTCAGCACCTGGCTCTGGTTATCACATCAGGCACCACAAAACTCAGCAGTCAAGGTAAACCGTATTTTAATTTTTAATATTTTTAAAAAAAAACAGATTAGCAAATCTACAGCCGAAACTGCTTGGGCTCAAATCTGGGTTTCTAACTTGAACCTGTGTGATCTTAAGCAAAGTCCCTCACTTTTCTCAGCCTAGTTTTCCTCGTCTATCAAATGGAACCCAAAACCTGCCACTCTCTAGTGGATTCCGACTCATAGCAATCCAGCATGTGTCTGAGTAGAACAGCTCCATAGGGTTTTCAATGGCTGGTTTTTTGGAAATAGCTCACCAGACCTTTCCTCGTAAGCACCTTGGGTGGACTCAGCTCTCCAAGCTATCGGTTAGCAGCCAAATGTGTTCACCGTTTGCACCATCTAGAAAACAGAGATACTGTATTCGTAATCCCTAGATTCAGTGACACCATGCATATAAACACTTCAGCAGCAGTGGGCCCTCAAAGTCAAAAAATCCCATTGTCAAGTCGATTTCACTCAAAACAACCCTATAGGATACAGTGCTGTTGTTGTTGTTGTTAGGTGCCATCAAGTCGGTTCTGACTCACAGTGATCTTGCCTATATCCAAGGCTGTAAATCTCTATAAAAGCAAAAAGGCTCATCTTTCTCCCATGGAGTAGCTGGTGGGATTGAACTGCCAACCTTGTGGCTAGCAGACCAGTATTTATCCCACAGCGCCACCAGTGCACCATAGGACAGAGTTGTTGTTGTTATGTGCCGTGGAGTCAGTTCCAACTCATAGCTACCCTGTACAGGGTTTCCCAGGCTGTAAATCTTTACAGGAGCAGAAAGCCTCATCTTTCTCCCGCGGAGCTGCTGGTAGTTTCGAACTGCTGACCATGAGATTAGCAGTCCGATTCACAACCACTACACTACCAGAGCTCCTTATAGGACAGAGTAAAGCTGCTCTTTAGGGGGTTTGAGGGTGTAAATCTTTACAGGAGCAGTTAGCCTCATCCTTTCCCCTCGGAGTGGCTGGTGGTTTTGAACCCGTTGACCTTGTGGTTAGCAGTCTAATGCTTAACCCATTGTGCCACCAGGGCTCCTTAGATGGCATTATGGGTTAAGGAGCACCATTCGTTGCTGTTGTAGTGTTAAGAGATTTTTCATCTTAGAAGTGGATGCTCACAGGCAGGAAGTTACCCCAGTGGTAACTAAGACCTTGTTGTTAAGTGCCCATGAGTCAGTTCTGACTCCTATCAATCCTATATAGAGGATTGGTGGATTTGACCGCCAAGCTTGCGTTTAGCTGGTCCAGTGCTTATCCTACAGCACCACATCAGGATTCCACTAAGAACTTAGTGCCTACCTTAGTGCTGGAACAACAGATAAGTATTTGGTGACTAACCAAAAGGTTGGTGGTTCAAACCCACCCAGTAGCTTTGCAGAAGAAAGATCTGGCTATCTACTCCCACAAAGATGGCAGCCTAGAAAACTCTCTGGAGCAGATCGACTCTGCCACATGGGGCTGAAATGAGTCCAACGTTTATCTGCTCAACATCACCTAACAACAGTGTTCCCATGGACCAAGGTCTGTTCTAAGCATTTTACATTCCTTGAGTTCTTTAATCCTCAAGACAGATCCCTGGTGCATTTAGCTACGGACTAATGTTATGCCCTGGAGTCCTGGTGTGGAATTGTGGGATAAGCCCTGGACTGCTAACTGCAAGGTCGGTGGTTCAAACCCACCAGCTGCTCCTTGGAAACACTCTACAAGGTCGCTTTGACTTGATGGCACTTAACAACAAGTGTTACCCCAAGGAACTATCAGCTGCTAACCAAAAGATCAGTGGTTCGAATCCACTTGGATGTTCTGCCAGAGAAAAGCCCTGACGAGCTGTTTTTATAAAGATCACAGCCTAGGAAACCCTAAAGGGCAGATCTCCTCTGTGTCTTAGGTCACTGTGAGTCAGGATCGATTTGGTGGCATACACAAATAGCCCATTTTTCAGACGAGCAAACCAAAGCACATAGCGTTACGGCTCTAGCTGAAGTCATACTCCCAGGAAATGGTGTAGCTGAATTCAAATCCCGCCTGACTCCAGAGCCCAGGTTCTTTCCCTGTGACATCACACATAACACTCTCATATGTAAACTGTCCCAGCAGCATACATACATGCTGCCAACCACTGAAGTCCCTGCTCTCAGGGTCACCCACAGGCACCGGCAGGTCACCATGAGCCCTGAAGAGGATCCCAGCCACACTCTGAGTCACACACTCTCCATGGCCACATGCTAAGGCCATCTAGCACTCTGGTCTCTCCCCCACACCAGGTCCCAGAGAAACAAACACCAAGGCTTAGAGAACCCTTGCCCAACATCTCTCCTTGGAGTGTTTCCATGAATCCAGCCCCTAAAGGTCATGGTGGTAGTGGAGGGCCCCCAATCTCTTCAGTGGACAGATGGAAGCCTGAAACCCAGAACAGAAAGGGACTGGCCAAAGCACACAGCTGAGCTGACCCCTGCCTGCCCTTCAACCTGGCTTCACCTTGGCCATGGGAGCCTTTTGCCCAGTTACTAACAATTTTGGCCTTTCTCTTGCCCCAGCCTCAGTGTCTGAGCCAGACTCAAGCTCCAAGAAACATTGGGGGGGATCTTCCCGTTCCCCTGGCTGCCCCCCACTCAGCTGGGGCCCAGGAACAGAGTGGGTAGAGGGAGGGAGACCTCCTACGCCCATCTGGGGCCAGCCCTCACTTAGCAGGGAGCTGAGGCCTCATCCCTGCTGCCTGCTTTTGACTCCACACCTTCTTACCACCAGACAAGTGTCTGGGCCCAGCACTGTGTCCCTCCTGCCCTCAGGTCACCTCCTGCATCTCTACACACATGCAGAGAAACACGTGTTTGCACACATGTGCATGGACACACATGTACACAGCACAAAGCACCCCCTCTGATGTGGTCTCTTTTCCTTTATCTTTTCTCCACCTCTTCCCTGCCTTCCTACTTCCCCATTTGATAGGAGACTCCCACTGGGGTTCCACATACTCAGAAAGTGGGCCTCGGACCTGCTTTGAGCCACAGCGGCTTCACAGTGAGAGGGGAATGACGAGTCTTCCACCTAGAGAGGTCAGAAAGCCGTGTTCATCACCATTAGATGAATTCTGTCTCATGGCAACCCACGTTTTCCAGAGTAGAACTGTGTTCCACAGGGTTTCCGTGACTGTCATTTTTATGGACAAGCACGGGACCCGATAAATCCACCAGCTGCTCCTTGGAAGCCCTAGTAGCATAATGGGTTATGATTTGTGTAGCTAACCTCAAGGTCAGCTGTTCGAATCTACCAGCTGCTCCATGGAAAAAAGATGAGGCTTTCTGCTCCAGTAAAGATTAGTTGTTGTTATGTGCCGTGGAGTCGGTTCCTACTCAGAGAGACCCTGTACAGGGTTTCTGAGGCTGTAAATCTTTACAGGAGCAGAAAGCTTCATCTTTCTCCCACGGAACAGCTGGTAGTTTCGAACTGCTGACCGTGAGATTAGCAACCCAATTCGTGACTTCTACGCTACCAATTACAGCCTCCAAAATCCTATACAGGGTCACTAGGAGTCGGAACCGACTCCATGGCATACAACCACAACCACTTCAAGGCTTTTATTGTGTGCGGCATCACTGTGAACCTCCAACCTTTATGTTGTAGTTGAATGCAGACTGTCTGCAACCCCCCCAAGTCCCTCCCTACGGATGTTAACACATTGCTGTCAAGTCGATTCCAACTCACCGTTGTCCCATGTGTTACAGAGAAGTGCCCCATAGTCTTCTTCCTGGCTGAAATGTTTTACCAAAGCAGATTGCCCAGTCGTTATTCTGCAGCATAGCTGGGTAAGTTTGAGCTGCCAAGCTTTATGTTAGTTAGTGTTGTTGTTAAATACCATCCAGTCAGTTCCCCCTCATAGCGATCCTACATAGGCTTCTGAGGAACAGCTGGTGAGTTTGAACCACCGACCTTGAGGTTCAAGCCAACCTCGCAGTCCAGTTCTTATCCTACAGTGCCACTCCAGGGTCAAGCTCAAATCATTTGTACTCCTAAGGTCTCTCCCTATGGGTGGTTTTATTTCATGCTTAGCACTGTATCTGACATCTCCTAACTACGGAGGGAATGAGGGCTTTATCAAGTTAAGATGATAAGTGAAATCCTCTGTACTGGAGATCTGAGCCAAGCAGGACAGGCTATGGTAGCCATTTTCAGTTAAGAAAACCAAGGCACAAAACCTGAATGATGGATGGGACTGAGAACTGGCAAACTCATTCATGACTGGGCGGGTGTGTTATAAAATAAGGGAGGTGATGCTATTTGATCTTCAGCTGTGAGCAGGCAGACAGTGGTTGTGTTTGTTCTAGCACCTTCTCCTCGGGCCTGCCTATCAAAGATGTCCACTTGATCTAACCAACGCCATGTCCTCTCTTTCCAGGTGATGACTCCTCCTGAGGAAGCCCTGTAGTGTGCCTAGAAGAAGGGACTGCCGGCCACCATGAACACCTCAGCCCCGCCTGCTGTCAGCCCCAACATCACCATCCTGGCTCCAGGAAAGGGTCCCTGGCAGGTGGCCTTCATTGGGGTCACCACTGGCCTCCTGTCACTGGCCACGGTGACAGGCAATCTGCTGGTGCTCATCTCTTTCAAAGTCAACACAGAACTCAAGACAGTCAACAACTACTTCCTGCTGAGCCTGGCCTGCGCGGACCTCATCATTGGCACCTTCTCCATGAACCTCTATACGACCTACCTGCTCATGGGCCACTGGGCGCTGGGCACGCTGGCCTGCGACCTCTGGCTGGCCCTGGACTACGTGGCCAGCAACGCCTCCGTCATGAACCTGCTGCTTATCAGCTTTGACCGCTACTTCTCCGTGACGCGGCCCCTGAGCTACCGTGCCAAGCGCACGCCACGCCGGGCAGCCCTCATGATCGGCCTGGCCTGGTTGGTTTCCTTCATTCTCTGGGCCCCAGCCATCCTCTTCTGGCAGTACCTGGTAGGTGAACGGACGGTGCAGGCTGGGCAGTGCTACATTCAGTTTCTCTCCCAGCCCATCATCACCTTTGGCACAGCCATGGCCGCCTTCTACCTCCCGGTCACCGTCATGTGCACTCTGTACTGGCGAATCTACCGGGAAACGGAGAACCGGGCTCGGGAGCTGGCCGCCCTGCAGGGCTCGGAGACGCCAGGCAAGGGGGGCGGCAGCAGCAGCAGTTCTGAGAGGTCCCAGCCAGGAGCAGAGGGCTCCCCCGAGACCCCTCCAGGGCGCTGCTGCCGCTGCTGCCGAACCCCCAGGCTGCTGCAGGCCTACAGCTGGAAGGAGGAAGAGGAGGAGGATGAAGGCTCCATGGAGTCCCTCACATCATCAGAGGGCGAGGAGACAGGTTCTGAGGTGGTGATCAAGATGCCCATGGTGGACCCCGAGGCGCAGGCTCCCGCCAAACAGCCCCCCCGGAGCTCCCCGAATACAGTCAAGCGGCCGACTCGGAAGGGGCGTGACCGAACCGGCAAGGGCGCAAAGCCTCGTGGGAAGGAGCAACTGACCAAGCGGAAGACCTTCTCACTGGTCAAGGAGAAAAAGGCGGCTCGGACCCTGAGCGCCATCCTGCTGGCCTTCATCCTCACCTGGACACCGTACAACATCATGGTGCTGGTGTCCACCTTCTGCAAGGACTGTGTTCCCGAGAGCCTGTGGGAGCTGGGTTACTGGCTCTGCTACGTGAACAGCACCGTCAACCCCATGTGCTACGCGCTCTGCAACAAAGCCTTCCGGGACACCTTCCGCTTGCTGCTGCTCTGCCGCTGGGACAAGCGACGCTGGCGCAAGATCCCCAAGCGCCCTGGCTCTGTGCACCGCACCCCCTCCCGCCAATGTTGATGGCCCCCCTCGCCTGCACCTCTCCACCCCAGCCCCCAGCAGAGGCCGGTGGAGAGCGGGGCGGGGGCTGTATCCTCAGCCCCAGGGCCTAGCTCAGGCCTCACCCGGCTCCCCCAGGCCCCTAGGTCACCTTCCTGGACCGCCCAGAGAGACCCTGCCAACTTTCCAAACTTTGCTATTCCCAGGCAGGATGCGGAACTCGGGGAACTGGTTTTTCTCTTCCCTGCTGGGTGGGAATGGGCTCTCCACCAGGAAGAAGGCCCGGGAGGAGGATCCGGGCTTTGGACTCCTTGTTTGCGTTGAGGCAGGAAGGCCGGAGCCAGCGGGGCGGACCAGGAGAAACAAGGTTTTACATTATAATCATCCTTGGCTACAATCATCCTTGGCGCAGTGGCTGGCCCAGATTGTGGTGGGAGATGTCTCCCCCTGGAGGCCACATCGGGGGAACTGACACCAACCTCTGAGAAAGGAAAGCTAGGCTAGAAGGGGGCATCCTACTTGGGGACCCCACTCCCGCCCTCCCTGGGCAGGCAGAACCCGTGACCAGTTCCTGTTCTCCAGAATTCTTCAGCATCCCTGTGTGGGTCACCCCAGAGGCAGCATGTCCAAGCGTCAGCAGGACAATGACACCAGAGAGGACCCGCTTAACTCGTCATAGCTGGAATCCTGAGGCAGCAACAGGCCCAGGCTCCCAGCATCCCGACCACTCCATCCTGTCATTTTCTTGGGAGTGAGGGACCGGGAGCCTGCTGTCTAGCCCCACACTCCGCTCCCCTGCTCCAGAGAACCCTCAGTCCTCCCTCTCTGGCTCACAGCCTCCACCTGGCGCAAATCCAGCCAGGCTTCCGCATGCTGCTCACCTCCTGTCCACCTCCCACAGGCCTGGCCCAGCCAACAGACTCTCTCCTGTGAGCACCCCAATCCCACCTATGCATGGCCTCCCAGCCACCCTTATCTCCAGGACCAGCCTGCCCCCCAAATGTTTTTCCCCTCTCAGCAAGTGCTGAGTCTGTGAATAAAGCCACCTAACCAGCAGGCATTAAGCGGCCTTCCTCCCTGTTCTGGCTTGAGGCCCTGGTCACAGACCAGGATGGTACGGGGCAGGGAGGGCTCAAGTGCCTGGAGGGGTTCCAGTGAGGAGAGTGTGGCACTGAATGACCAGATCTATAAAACCTGTGGGCTCAGGAGGCCAGGGTCCCTGGCTCAGGTGAGTGGGGCTCTAGGAGCCAGCACCAGGTATCTGGAAGTGGGGTGACTAGAAGAAATAGACTGCCCCTGTTCCTATCCTGGGTGACCTAAACAGTAAAGTGCTCAGCTGCTAACTGAAAAGGTTGGCGGTTCAAACCCACCCTCGGAAGAAAGGCTTGGTGATCTCCTAGATCCAAAAGGTCACAGCCATGAAAACCAATGGAGCCGCTTTCTTCTGCACATATGGGGTTGCCTTGAGCTAGGTCAACTCAAGGGTAGCTAGTTGTTGTTGTTTAGTGCTTTTGAGTCCGTTCCGACCCATAGCGACCCTGCATAGGGTTTCTGAGGAGCAGCTGGTGAGCTTGAACTGCCAACCTTACAGTTCAAACGGCTTTGCAGTCTGGTGCATTAATCCACAGCACCACCCCAGTTGGTCCATTATCCCTGCATGTTTTCTACTGGGGCATCCCGTCCAGGGTGAACAGAACTCTTTATAGATGGGGAGGCCCAGAGCCCCAGAAGGACTTCAAGGTTACCCACAAAGCAACACATGCATTTCCAGGCAGTTCACAGCCTAAGGACCCCTGGACTGTGGGGATGAGACCCTCAGGCCAGGTTAAGAAGCACTTCATTGGTGGGCCCCAGAGCCTAAAGCAATCTGAGAGCGGTCAGCCCCCAGCCTAGAGCAGTGGTTCTCCTGGGAACATCTTGTAAAGTGCCATCTGGTCAGTTCCAACTCATAGGGATCCTGTATAGGGTTTCCAAGAAGCACTTGGTGAGTTTGAACTGCCGAGCTTGTGGTTCAAACTGACCTTGCAGTCCAGTGCTTTATCATACAGCACTACACCTGGAAACTTAGAGATGTGAATTCTCAGGGTCTCCCAGAAATACTGGAGCAGCCACCCCGGGAGTGGAGACCAGCATCTGGTTTTACAGCCCTCCAGTTTAAGATTGCGAACCTCTGGCCTAGAAGGATGAGGTTCTAGGAGGGGCTAAACCCTTGCAGAGGGGATTCCCTCTGGGCACAGCTGTCAGACTCCCAGAAGCCTTGGGGAAGGACTCTCCCAGCATGCCCCTCTTGGTCAGGTTGACCAGAAGCTGGCAGGAAGCACCTCACCACTATATGGAATGGCTCTAGGATATAAACCCTACTCTCCCACAGCATGGATGCCTGTGTCATCAGCTCAAGAGCCTTGCCATTGCTCCTCTAAATCCCTGTGCCCCCTTCAGGGATCAATGCCCTGCCCTGTGTCTGGGGCATTCACTAGCAAGAGACCCATGAAGTGGAGGACCTAGGGAGACCCAGCAGGGTTGGACGAGCAGGAAGACAGAGAGCTTGCCTCTGCTAGCAGGAGTAGGCACCAAACTGACATTCTAATCCCAGTCTCTAAAACACACGCACACACTGGGTCCCTTGTCCCAGGTGCCTGTCCTCCCTGCCCATGCCCCTCATAGAACCACCTTAGGCCTGCCTCCAATCCTCAACCCCCCATCTTTGAAAAGGGAAATGAGCTCCCCTTGCAGAAGAGTTCAAAGGATTCGACCGTAGGGGAAGCACCTAGATGGTTTATGATCCATGGCATCAATGGTGAAGGGCAGAAACCGGGTCTGGTGTCAGACTCAGCTCTTTCCCTCCACCTCCAGCCTAGACTCTGAAGGGCTGCCTGGAGTCCCCAAGCCCAAAGAGAGAAAGCTGTAAACTCCAAGGCTACGTGGCTTGGGGAAAGGAGAATTGTGAATGATGCTGAGCCTGAGCCGGAAGGAGAGGGTGTGCAGTCCAGAGAGACACCCAGAGTCCTGGGAGCCCAGCTGCCAGAGGACAGAAGAAATGGCATCAGCTTGAAAGGAGAAGGGTGGCTGGCCATGGCATCAGTCCACCCTAAACACCACACCCCTTCCACCCTGAGGGAGTCCTTGGCCCCAGAAACAAGGGCCATTTCGTGCTGAGCAGGAAGTATCAAAAGAATAGGGTGGCTGTATGAAGGCTACCTCCTCCCCCACCACTCCCACCAGGGTGGAGCAGGCCTGGAGCTGGGACTCATGTTCGTATCCTTTCTAATCCCAGTCTCTAAAACACACGCGCGAGCGCGCACACGCACAAGCACACAGCATTCCTGCTGTATGTATCCCTTTAGCACCACCTGCCGGCAATCAAGGAAATAGCCAGGGGCTTGGAACGAGCAAGACAAATGATGGAAGCAGCGGTCTTGGCCACTTCAGTTCCTGCCCCCAAACCTCAGCAGACATCCAAGGCCCTGGAAAGATCCAAATACTTGGCTATGACTATAAGCCCTTGCCTACCTTCAGAGACAGGCCCTGCATTTCTGATTAAGGATACCAACCTCATTAGAGAACTAGAGAATAGAAAATGGATGAAGGAAACCTGAGAGAGAGGAACCACTCCATCTTCTCCCAGTGTGACCTCAGGCCTTTGGAATCCTCCATTTCTTTCTTCCGAACCTGGCTTGGGTTTCACAGAATTCATGCAGACCCAACTGAAAATTAAGACTGTGTCCACTCACCTACAGAGTGTGAACGCTTTTTGAAGGCCCACGTAGCTCACAGCAGCCTCAGGTTCTAAAAGCTTTGAGGCTACTGCTTTTGTCATCTTTGTTTTTAACACCTTTCATAACACACATTCACTGCTCCAGGAAGCAGAGGACCTCACAGAATAGATCTGGAAACAGTAGTCACTCTTCTCCCAAAGTCCCTGCCCCTCTCCTCGTCTTCCCTCCCTCCGTCCCCTGCCCCAGTTTCACTCTTCCTCTTTGTATTCCTGGCCTGGTTTGTACCACTATTCACACAGTTGTTCAAACCAGCAATCTGGGAATTATCTTAGACTCCTTTTCACTCCCTCTGGCCAGTCTACTTTCTGGATCGTTCCCAAATTTATCTAGTTTTCTCTGTCACAAATACTGCTACTCTTGTAGCATGGGTCTCTTGTCTAAAATGCTGAAATAATTCCTTCATTTTGGAGGTTAGTAAGATTTTTCGGTGATGGGCCAGATAGTAAATGTTTTAGGATCTATGAACCAGGAGGCAAATTCTAGGCTACTTTGTAGATATCAATGTATCATACATACAGTCTCTGTTGAAACAACTCCATGCTGTCTTAATAGGCAAAAGCAGCCACAGATGATATATTAGTGAGTGAGCCTAATTGTGCTCTAATAAAACTTCATTTGAATTTCACTCAAGCTTGAATTTCATATCATTTTCATTGGTCACAAAATATTATTCCTATCTTGATTTATTTCCAGCCATTTTATTTTTTTTTAACTCTTTATTGTGAATTGAGGGAAGGTTTATAGATAAGATCATCAGCTTTACACTCAACAAATTATATACTTTGTTTCAGCTCAATGATTACAATCCCCTTCCTGCAACAATAGTTACCCTACTTCCTCCCTGTGCCTTCCCTTTTACATCTTATATTTCACAAATGAACAAAGCAAAAATATTTGATGTACACATACAAAACCAAAAGTAGATATATTCACAAGTATCCATGCTAGCCCCTCTGTACATAGGGTAGATAGGGATGGGCAACTTAGACATTGGCTACCTAAAATGAGGGGGGGATAAAGGCATGAAGTGACTGGCTTATAAGGTTCAAGGGGGAGCTTAGTTTAATATTGTGTGGGGAAAGAAAGATTCCCCGCTGAATAGTTTTCATCTTGTCTAGGTAGGTCTGGTTCAAAGAGATGGGGATAAGATTCTTATAATTCAATAATGAGTAATTGTTATCATGACTAATTGCGACTGTCACAATGATAAAAGTAGATGTTTTGTATCAAAAATGGGGGAGTAGT